AAGTGGAAAGTTCCGTGCAGCAGATACCTTTACACCTGGTCATCACTGACAAGAATGAAGCAGGCCCTGACCCCGGGGTTCGCAGAGAGGGAACCGAAATGAACCCGACACACTGATTTGAACTGTATTAAAATACTAAAAATCCAAGAAAGAAAAGAACAAAGAAAGAAAGAGAAAGAAAGAAAGAAGGCCGGGCGCGGTGGCTCACGCCTGTAATCCCAGCATTTTGGGAGGCTGAGGCAGGCGGATCACCTGAGGTCGGGAGTTTGAGACCAGCCTGGCCAACGTGGTGAAACCCAGTCTCTAAAAAAAAAAGAAAGAAAGAAGTTGAAGGAACAGCCGTAAGCATAGCCCCTGGATTCCGGCACTGTGAGGACTTTGGATGTCGCTTTATTTTTGTGTTTGCTGCAGTAATTTTGAAGTAGAAATGCAGACATCATGACATGTCGCTCCTAAATACTTTGTCCAGCTCTGTAAGAAGGTGGGTATTTTCCTACCTAACAATATCACAATCACATGTCACAAAAAGTAACAGTAATTCCGGGCCGGGGGGTGGGTCATGCCTGGAATTCCAGCACTTTTCAAGGCTGAGGCTGCAGGGTCACTTGAGCCCAGGAGTTCAAGACCAGCTTGGGCAACACAGTGAGACCCCTTCTCCAAAAAACACCAAAACCACAATGATTTTACAGCGTCGCGTCAGACGCGTCCGTGTTGACCTGTGCCCGTCCCCACAGAATGTCTTTGCGATGGCTTTGTTTGAACAAGTTTCTGGTCCCGGGCCAGGGGTGAGTGTGTGACCATCTTCAGCTGCAGTGGCTCCCGGTTTTCTCCCACGTGGTGAGTGAGCATCAGGGCCAGCTGTACTGTGATGAGGGCTTTAAGCCACCGGGGCCGGAGTAGATGAGGCGTACGGGGCCCGGGAGGCGTGGCTTTGTTTTAGGTGACCAGGGACAGCCCCTCAGGCAGAGGACCTCGGGCTGAATCCTAAAGTCGCAGAGCGCCAGCCTCGTGCAGTTCCTGCGGAGCATGAGCCTGGCAGGGCTGGGTGGGAGCTCGCGGGCTTCAGCTTGGCGGGAGGTGTGGTGGGCAGTTAGAAGCTACGTCAGGTGTGTTGCCGGGTGCGGTGGCGCGTGCCTGTGGTCCCAGCTACCCGGGAGGCTGTGGCTGGAGGCTGCTTCAGTCAGGAGTTCTGGGCTGCAGTGCGCTAAGCCAATGGGGCGTCCGCACTAAGTTCGGCGTCAATGTGGTGACCTCCCAGAAGCAGGGGACCACCAGGTTGCCTAAGGAGGGGTGAACCGGCCCAGGTCAGAAATGGAGCAGGTCAAAACTCCCGTGCTGATCAGTAGTGGGATCGCACCTGTGAATAGCCACTGCACTCCAGCCTGGGCAACATAGCAAGACCCTGTCTCTAGGCCGGGCGCGGTGGCTCAAGCCTGTAATCCCAGCACTTTGGGAGGCCGAGGCGGGTGGATCACGAGGTCAAGAGATCGAGACCATCCTGGTCAACATGGTGAAACCCCGTCTCTACTAAAAATACACAAAATTAGCTGGGCATGGTGGCACGTGCCTGTAATCCCAGCTGCTCAGGAGGCTGAGGCAGGAGAATTGCCTGAACCCAGGAGGCGGAGGTTGCGGTGAGCCGAGATCGCGCCATTGCACTCCAGCCTGGGTAAGG